AGCAGATCCCCTTCATGTGGCTTGTTCTTTGGGACATGCTGTACTAGGTGACCTAAGGGCTTTTTCAATGTTGACCATCTTTTCTCTCTACCAACACACCTACACTGGATGTTTTCTTCTGTGCCTTCAACATCAGGTACAAGTGGGGATATTCTCCTTGTTGATAGGCACCATACCTGTCAATCCCAAAGCGTGTGGCCTAGGCAGCTGACAGGTCTGTACTTACAAAGCCACATGGGTAAAATACACACATCAGTGCGTGCACAAAGAAGATGATAATATGCAAAATGTAGACATGCATTTCACAACATTCTTACTGCCGCCAAAACTGTGTATTTTTTCACTGTTCCCTGAGCAGTCTTTTCTTTCAGAATTGTATCTCGTTTTTCTCACCCAAATGGAAAGAAAACCTTGGAACCAGAAGCCTTTCTTTTCTTTCTGAGTAGTTGAGCCAAATAGGAGTGATGGTCTGGAAACCAGAAAGGTTGGATTCTAGTTCTGCCTGTGCCATGGGCTTGACCTTGATTTAGAGCACGTCATCTGGCCAATCAAATCCCGCATTTCTCCATCTAGAAGGTGAGAAGTTGAGCTTAATTGGTCTTGGTGTTCTCACCCAGCATGAGATGTGGTTTCTTCTAGGTAATTGGCATCTGAAGCCCGCTTTTGATCCAGCAGTCCCACAGTCTATCCCAGCAGCCTCCTGTAGTAGCCATCTGATCCTGTGTGGTTTGTATTAGCCTCTCTGCACCAACAGGCAAGAGCAGGGGATGGGAACAGCTCGAACCCATCTGGCTCTTCACACCCCACGTGCCACCCACACTGATGGCACCCTCATTGTTGGGGAAAAGGCTCTTTCCATCATCTGTGGGGACAGACTGTGTCCACTAGATCAATGGTCTGGATTTTAGGGATTTGGGTGTTTTTCTTTCTTTCTTTTATTTTTCATGTCATAACAAAAGAAATATCATCAACACAAAACCTAATTTAAGTTATGGGAAGGATTTCACTTAAATCCACAAAAGCAATGAGAACCAGACTTGGGCTTGCAAGTAGGGCCAGACACAATGGATTAGATTAAGGCACGAGGATCAGCCTCAATTCTGAGGTTAAAGATTTGTCTTTCTTTTGTGGCTCTGTCAGGCCCTTAACATCACTTAACCATAATTGATTCGGGGGAACTGAATGCTGTGAATGTGTACATTGGCTTCTGTTTCTCCAGAATTGTGCTTTCTAGGAGCTCATATTCCCTGAACTATTGAGCACAGTGATCTTCTCTTCAGAAAAAGCCTCAAGTGTTGATCTTGAGGTTGTTTTCTGTGTCCCTCTCCCTGATCCATAGGCAGTCAGCTAATTAAGACCTGCTTGGGGCTTGGATCCCTCAGTAACTCCTGGGGAGGGGTAGTCTCTGTACATTTCAGGAAGAGGAGCATCACAGACCTGGGCTGAGTCTCTGGGAGGCTCAGTGGCTTTGCCACTCTGACCCTGGGCCAGGTATTTAACCACTCTGTTCAGCTTCCATTTATGCACAATGGGGTGGATAAGCCATGAGCCCCTCATGGGGCGGGTCTACTGGGACACCTTTTTCTCCTTCACCAGTTTTCTGTATAATATCTGTGGAACATCTTGACTTTGTTTCACTCTTCCTTGTTCTCAGTGTCTTGGACACTGGGCAAGGGCTGTTCTTTTCCCCAGCAACAACCTTCCTCTGTTGCTTGGTGAATGTGTACTCATTCTTCCAGAATCAAATAGAGTGTTTTCTCTCTTTGTAGTTTTTTCATGACATTCCAGGCTAGATTTCCCTGCTCTGTGTTAGATTTCCCTCTCTGTATTTACATTTGTCAGAGCACCTAGGAAACCTAAAGTCCACCCTTAAGATGCTCACAGACTTGGGAGAGATGTGTCCAGCATCCCATGGTTAAACCCTGTTCTAGGCATATCATAATTGGTGAATAAAACTGCAGAATATATTTTATTTGTATACACCAGTGATGAGAAGGATCATACTAGTGAGCTGAGTGAAGGTAAAAAAAAAAATTTTTGGTGACAGTCTCCTATGAGCCAGGGTATATTATGTATTCTACCTCATTGCACCCCTTCAAATTCTGATGATGTATATGGAACAATGTAATTTGAAAGAGGAAGAATTGACTCTCAGAGAATTTAAGTAACTTGCCCTGTCAGTTGGATCCTTTGGGAAGCAGACACTGAAATGGAATTAATAGTTCATGTGGAATTAATTGTGTGTGTGTGTGTGTGTGTGTGTGTGTGTGTGTGTGTGTGTGTGTGTGTGGTGGGGGAGTGGACTTTGACAAAGTATAGGCCAATTCAACAGGGAACTCCAGAGAAAACATTGCCCATTAGAAATGCCCCATGTTGAGCAGAAATGGCAATGAAGAAATGGTACTGCAGTTGAAAGTTCTCAGCTAACTGTAGCCCTTCCATATGGAATCTAGATGTCCCAACAAAGCCATGATTTGAAAACATGGGTCAGCCTGACTTTAAGTCCAGTTTTTACTATACTATACTTCTCAAACTTAAGGGACCTCCTATTACTTATCTTGACATAGTTTTAAAGATCACATGAATGACCAAGACCAGTACAATACCAACACACATATGACACTAGAGTTTAAGTTCCTCTGAAAAACCAGATACAAGGTGACCTTCTCATTCACATTCTTGCTTCCATTACTCTGTTTCCTCTCTCTTGAAACTATGTTTTGGCAGAACCTACAGGGATCATATAATATACTGAATGATTAAAAGTTATTAAAACCCCAGATGATTGAACCTACTGATTAAGCAACTGTATGGACATCCAAATCATTTAACAGGGCTCTGATGGTCGCCAAGTGTTGTAACCCTGGACTGGAAAGTCAGGGGATTTATACAAGCTGGTCTGAGCCAAGTCTTGATTAATCATGACCTCATTTCATGACCCTCATTATAGATATCCCGGGACTGCAGCCTTTCAAACACCTCCATCTATGGCCACTTGAGGGCCATCAGAGTGGGATGGCATGGGATCTATTACATGAACTCTCTGAAGTATTCAGAAAACTACAAATCAATGCAAAGCCATTTTAAATCCAATGCTTTCAAGTAGCTGGCAAAATAGGATGTCAAGTAGAGAGACTGAGATGGGTTTAACTTTCCCTCAGATGATTCTGTTGCTCAATTTGGTAGTAAGTGCAAAGTCTCAATCACTCTACTCTGCAGACCCCAACCTAGAGTTAATAAGTATCTCCAGGGTTGGAGCTCAGAATCATTTATTACTGATTTATGTGAGTTCATTCACAGAGTGAGCAGACTGGCACTAGATCTTAACCCCATCCAAGTTGATGCTGATCTTAAAAGTTCTAGTCCCAAGGTCACCAGCTCTTTAGTGGGAGAAACAAGCCTAACCCCCACTCCAGCAGTCTGTCAGAATTACAGGGAGTCATACAGCTCTTCAAATCTATATGTCGATGGCTGGCTCAATTGGTGGCGAGCTTCCCATCCCTGGAGATACTCAAGCAGAGGCAGGAAGGTCATGTGTCAAGTAGATTGTGGAGAATAGCCTTGAAGAGGGAAGGAGGTTGGAATCCATAAATTCTCTTGCAACTCTGAAAGTCAACCTCTAATAAAGCTAGACATAGACAATCTAGTAGGAAAAAAATTCATTATAATTCATGCCTAATATATCTACCCACACCTTCCTTCAAATAATGGTCTAGTATTAGGCATTTACTTTCTAATGCCATCTACAAATCTGCTGGGGACCAGCCCCAGCGGGTCCAGGGGTTCCCAAAGGTGTGGACGGAGTTGGCGAAGAATGAATGACACAGAGGCAGTGTTCAGGTGATCATCATAGCCAGATTCTTTTATTTATTTTCATCTAACATCTGTATTTATACTATTTGGTCCTCACCTGGGGAAACAACTTTTCTTCTCCTAGCCAGGCTCCTCCCCCTATTGTCCTCTTACATCTGCATTTATCCTATTTGATCTTAACCCCATCCATTCCAAAGGCTAGGGCGTTTCTCATCTCCATTTCAAGGTTCCTTGAAACATCCCTGCAGGGACTGCCTCAAGCAGCCAGGGTGGATTGGCTTCCAACAGGCTAGCACTGAAAAACCTGTCACATAAAATACT